CAACAGGCATCGTCAGGGTCAGGGATCGAACCTCACGACCTCCTGCGTACCAGGCGAGGTAGTCAACATCTTTCCAAATACAGCAATAGGCATCATCAGGATCAGGGATCGAACCTCACGACCTCCTGCGTACCAGGCGATGTAGTCAACATCTTTCCAAATACAGCAATAGGCATCGTCAGGGTCACGGACCGAACCCACGACCTCCTGCGTACCAGGCGATGTAGTCAACATCTTTCCAAATACAGCAATAGGCATCGTCAGGGTCAGGGATCGAACCTCACGACCTCCTGCGTACCAGGCGATGTAGTCAACATCTTTCCAAATACAGCAATAGGCATCGTCAGGGTCACGGACCGAACCCACGACCTCCTGCATACCAGGCGATGTAGTCAACATCTTTCCAAATACAGCAATAGGCATCGTCAGGGTCAGGGATCGAACCCACGACCTCCTGCGTACCAGGCGAGGTAGTCAACATCTTTCCAAATACAGCAATAGGCATCATCAGGATCAGGGATCGAACCCACGACCTCCTGCGTACCAGGCGAGGTAGTCAACATCTTTCCAAATACAGCAATAGGCATCATCAGGATCAGGGATCGAACCCACGACCTCCTGCGTACCAGGCGAGGTAGTCAACATCTTTCCTAATACAGCAATAGGCATCGTCAGGGTCAGGGACCGAACCCACGACCTCCTGCATACCAGGCGAGGTAGTCAACATCTTTCCAAATACAGCAACAGGCATCGTCAGGGTCAGGGATCGAACCCACGACCTCCTGTGTACCAGGCGATGTAGTCAACATCTTTCCAAATACAGCAATAGGCATCATCAGGATCAGGGATCGAACCCACGACCTCCTGCGTACCAGGCGATGTAGTCAACATCTTTCCAAATACAGCAATAGGCATCGTCAGGGTCAGGGATCGAACCCACGACCTCCTGCATACCAGGCGAGGGAGCTGGGGATCCGTCGGGACGCCGCCACTAGGCTAGGCCACACGGCAGAAGCAGCAGCAGCAACAGCAGCGACCATCGCTACCCCTACTGGCAGCTGACTGACGCACAGAGACAGCTGCCGCTGGAGGTGCCCCTAGGCCAGACCACACAACAGCAGCAGCAGCAGCGATCATCGCTACCCTCTACTGTGAAACCACCACAGGCTGGGTGGGCTACGTGAGACGAGACAGACGAGGTCACGTGTCTAGACAGACGACGTGAGACGAGACAGACGAGGCCACGTGTCTAGACAGACGACGTGAGACGTCACAGACAAGGTCACGTGTCTAGACGGACGACGTGAGACGTCACAGACGAGGCCACGTGTCTAGACAGACGACGTGAGACGACTCAGACGAGGCCACGTGTCTAGACAGACAACGTGAGACGAGACAGACGAGGCCACGTGTCTAGACGGACGACGTGAGACGACTCAGACGAGGCCACGTGTCTAGACAGACAACGTGAGACGAGACAGACGAGGCCACGTGTCTAGACAGACGACGTGAGACGACTCAGACGAGGCCACGTGTCTAGACAGACAACGTGAGACGAGACAGACGAGGCCACGTGTCTAGACGGACGACGTGAGACGACTCAGACAAGACCACGTGTCTAGACAGACGACGTGAGACGAGACAGACGAGGCCACGTGTCTAGACAGACGACGTGAGACGAGACAGACGAGGCCACGTGTCTAGACAGACGACGTGAGACGAGACAGACGAGGCCACGTGTCTAGACGGACAACGTGAGACGAGACAGACGAGGCCACGTGTCTAGACAGACAACGTGAGACGAGACAGACGAGGCCACGTGTCTAGACGGACGATGTGAGATGTCACAGACGAGGCCACGTGTCTAGACAGACGACGTGAGACGAGACAGACGAGGCCACGTGTCTAGACAGACGACGCGAGACGACTCAGACGAGGCCACGTGTCTAGACAGACGACGCGAGACGACTCAGACGAGGTCACGTGTCTAGACAGACGACGCGAGACGTCTCAGACGAGGCCACGTGTCTAGACAGACAACGTGAGACGACTCAGACGAGGCCACGTGTCTAGACAGACGACGTGAGACGAGACAGACGAGGCCACGTGTCTAGACAGACGACGTGAGACGAGACAGACGAGGCCACGTGTCTAGACGGACAACGTGAGACGACTCAGACGAGGCCACGTGTCTAGACAGACGACGTTAGATGTGGCAGACAAGGCCACGTGTCTAGACAGATGACGTGAGACGAGACAGACGAGGCCACGTGTCTAGACAGACGACGTGAGACGAGACAGACGAGGCCACGTGTCTAGACAGACGACGTGAGACGAGACAGACGAGGCCACGTGTCTAGACGGACGACGTGAGACGAGACAGACGAGGCCACGTGTCTAGACAGACGACGTGAGACGAGACAGACGAGGCCACGTGTCTAGACAGACGACGTGAGACGAGACAGACGAGGCCACGTGTCTAGACAGACGACGTGAGACGAGACAGACGAGGCCACGTGTCTAGACAGACGTGAGACGTCTCAGACGAGGCCACGTGTCTAGACAGACGACGTTGAACGACTCAGACGAGGCCACGTGTCTAGACAGACGACGTGAGACGAGACAGACGAGGCCACGTGTCTAGACAGACGACATGAGACGAGACAGACGAGGCCACGTGTCTAGACAGACGACGTGAGACGAGACAGACGAGGCCACGTGTCTAGACAGACGACGTGAGATGTCACAGACGAGGCCACGTGTCTAGACGGACGATGTGAGATGTCTCAGACGAGGCCACGTGTCTAGACAGACAACGTGAGACGTCTCAGACGAGGCCACGTGTCTAGACAGACAACGTGAGACGTCTCAGACGAGGCCACGTGTCTAGACGGACGATGTGAGATGTCTCAGACGAGGCCACGTGTCTAGACAGACAACGTGAGACGTCTCAGACGAGGCCACGTGTCTAGACGGACGATGTGAGACGTCTCAGACGAGGCCACGTGTCTAGACAGACGACGTGAGACGAGACAGACGAGGCCACGTGTCTAGACGGACGATGTGAGATGTCACAGACGAGGCCACGTGTCTAGACGGACGATGTGAGACGTCTCAGACGAGGCCACGTGTCTAGACAGACGACGTGAGACGAGACAGACGAGGCCACGTGTCTAGACAGACGACGTGAGACGAGACAGACGAGGCCACGTGTCTAGACAGACGACGTGAGACGAGACAGACGAGGCCACGTGTCTAGACAGACGACGTGAGACGAGACAGACGAGGCCACGTGTCTAGACAGACGACATGAGACGAGACAGACGAGGCCACGTGTCTAGACAGACGACGTGAGACGAGACAGACGAGGCCACGTGTCTAGACAGACGACATGAGACGAGACAGACGAGGCCACGTGTCTAGACAGACGACGTGAGACGAGACAGACGAGGCCGCGTGTCTAGACAGACGACGTGAGACGAGACAGACGAGGTCGCGTGTCTAGACAGACGACGTGAGACGACTCAGACGAGGCCACGTGTCTAGACAGACGACGTGAGACGAGACAGACGAGGCCACGTGTCTAGACAGACGACGTGAGACGTCACAGACGAGGCCACGTGTCTAGACAGACAACGTGAGACGAGACAGACGAGGCCACGTGTCTAGACGGACGATGTGAGACGTCACGGACAAGGCCACGTGTCTAGACGGACGATGTGAGACGTCACAGACGAGGCCACGTGTCTAGACAGACGACGTGAGACGACTCAGACAAGGCCACGTGTCTAGACAGACAACGTGAGACGAGACAGACGAGGCCACGTGTCTAGACGGACGATGTGAGACATCACAGACGAGGCCACGTGTCTAGACAGACGACGTGATACGAATCAGACAAGGCCACGTGTCTAGACAGACGACGTGAGACGAGACAGACGAGGCCACGTGTCTAGACGGACAATGTGAGACGACTCAGACGAGGCCACGTGTCTAGACAGACGATGTGAGACGAGACAGACGAGGCCACGTGTCTAGACGGACAACGTGAGATGTTATAGACAAGGCCACGTGTCTAGACAGACGACGTGAGACGACTCAGACGAGGCCACGTGTCTAGACAGACGACGTTAGATGTGGCAGACAAGGCCACGTGTCTAGACAGATGACGTGAGACGAGACAGACGAGGCCACGTGTCTAGACAGACGACGTGAGACGAGACAGACGAGGTCACGTGTCTAGACAGACGACGTTGAACGACTCAGACGAGGCCACGTGTCTAGACAGACGACGTGAGACGAGACAGACGAGGCCACGTGTCTAGACAGACGACGTGAGACGTCACAGACGAGGCCACGTGTCTAGACGGACGACGTGAGATGACTCAGACGAGGCCACGTGTCTAGACAGACGACGTGAGACGAGACAGACGAGGCCACGTGTCTAGACGGACGACGTGAGACGACTCAGACGAGGCCACGTGTCTAGACAGATGACGTGAGACGACTCAGACAAGGCCACGTGTCTAGACAGACGACGTGAGACGACTCAGACAAGGCCACGTGTCTAGACAGACGACGTGAGACGAGACAGACGAGGCCACGTGTCTAGACAGACGACGTGAGACGAGACAGACGAGGCCACGTGTCTAGACAGACGACGTGAGACGAGACAGACGAGGCCACGTGTCTAGACAGACGACGAGAGACGAGACAGACGAGGCCACGTGTCTAGACAGACGACGTGAGACGAGACAGACGAGGCCACGTGTCTAGACAGACGACGTGAGACGAGACAGACGAGGCCACGTGTCTAGACAGACGACGTGATCCGAGACAGACGAGGCCACGTGTCTAGACGGACAATGTGAGACGTCTCAGACGAGGCCACGTGTCTAGACAGACGACGTGAGACGACTCAGACGAGACCACGTGTCTAGACGGACGACGTGAGATGAGACAGACAAGGCCGCGTGTCTAGGTGGACAACGCGGACGTACCGGTTGGACAGACGTGAGGTCCAGGCGACATGCAGAGTCGTGGGCTCCACCCCCGCGGTCAGCGAATGTTCCTCGGGACCGTCCCCACTGAGACACACGCAGAGAGACACACAAAGACAAAGGTCCCCCGCGTAGCCTCGGAGGACGAACGGGGGCAAGTGCTTTCTAGATTTCGAGCTTTCGTGACTGCGGGGATTGATCTTCTTGGTTGTTTCGGTAAAAGTCACGTAGAAGGGAAGTAATAAAATAATAAAAATAAAACATAATAAAATACAATTCTCACGACGTTTCGGCCACAACGCAAGCAGCCGTCCTCAGGTGAAGAACAGGTCTGTCGGAAAGACACACACACAGACACAGACACACAGACACACACAGACACACACACATTCACACAGACACTCACACAGACACACCACATAGACACACATACAGACACACACACAGACACACACACACACATTCACACACTCACACACTCACACAGACACACCATATAGACACACACACAGACACACACAGATAGACACACACAGACAAATACACAGACAGACACGCAGACACGCACACACACAGACACACACATTCACACAGACACACACTCACACAGACACACCACATAGACACACACACACAGATAGACACACACAGACAGACACACAGACAGACACGCAGACACACACGCAGACACGCACACAGACACGCACACACACAGACACACACATTCACACAGACACACACACACACAGACACACCACATAGACACACAGACAGACACACAGAGACACACACGCAGACACGCTCACAGACACGCACACAGACACGCACACACGCACATTCACACAGACACACACTCACACAGACACACTCACACAGACACACCACAGACACACACATAGATAGACACACACAGACAGACACACCGACACACACGCAGACACGCACAAAGACACACGCACACAGACACGCGCACACAGACACGCGCACACGCACATTCACACAGACACACTCACACAGACACACCACATAGACACATACACAGATAGACACACACAGACAGACACACAGACACACACGCAGACACGCACAAAGACACACGCACACAGATACGCGCACACAGACACGCGCACACGCACATTCACACAGACACACTCACACAGACACACCACATAGACACATACACAGATAGACACACACAGACAGACACACAGACACACACGCAGACACGCACACAGACACACGCACTCACACGTACAGAAACACACACAGACACACTCACACACACAGACACACACAGAAACACACACTCACACAGACACACCACATAGACACACAGACAGACACACGCACACAGACACGGACACAGACACACTCAAACAGACACACTCACACAGTCACATACACACAGAGAAATTCGCACAGACACACTCACACAGACACATACACACACACGCACACAGACACACACACAGACACACTCACACACACTCACACACACATACATACACACTCGCACAGACACACACACAGACACACTCACATATACAGACACAGACACACACACAGACACACACACAGACACACAGACACACACTTACACAAGCACACACACTCACAGACACACTCACACACTCACAGCCACACGCACTCACAGACACACAGACACACACACACAGACACACTCACACAGACACAATCACACAGACACACACACACAGACACACAGTGACACACGCACTGTACACATACACACACAGACACACACACAGACACACAGACACACACTTACACAAGCACACACACTCACAGCCACACGCACTCACAGACACACAGACACACACACACAGACACACTCACACAGACACAATCACACAGACACACAGTGACACACGCACTGTACACATACACACACAGACACACTCACACAGACACACACACACAGTCACATACACACACAGACACATTCACACACACACACTCACACAGTCACACACACACACACTCACACACACAGATACACACACACAGTCACATACACACAGTCACACACACAGTCACATACACACAGTCACACACACAGTCACATACACACACAGACACATTCACACACACTCACACAGTCACACTCACAGTCACACACACACAGTCACATACACACACAGACACATTCACACACACTCACACAGTCACACTCACACAGTCACACACACACAGTCACATACAGACACATTCACACACACTCACACAGTCACACACACACAGTCACATACACACACAGACACACTCACACAGACACACACAGTCACATACATACACAGACACATTCACACACTCACACCCACACACTCACACAGTCACACAGTCACATACACCCACAGACACACTCACACAGACATACACAGTGACACACGCACTGTATGCACCCACACTTACACACACACAGACGCACTGTACAATGGACACGCAAGACAAGGCAAAGATCCCCCGTGTAGCCTTCAGCAGACTGCCGGGGCAAGTGCTGTGAGTGGTGAGCCACAACAGCAGCAGCAGCAGCGCCTACGAAAGCCAAGACACAGACACACACACAGACACACACACACACAGACACACACACAGACACACACACAGAGACACACACACATACACACATACACACAGACACACACACACAGACACATACACACATACACAAATACACACAGACACACACACAGACACAGACACACACAGACACACACACAGACACATACACACATACACACAGACACACACACACAGACACATACACACATACACAAATACACACAGACACACACACAGACACAGACACACACACACAGACACACACACAGACACATACACACATACACACAGACACACACACACAGACACATACACACATACACAAATACACACAGACACACACACAGACACAGACACACACACACAGACACACACACAGACACATACACACATACACACAGACACACACACACAGACACATACACACATACACAAATACACACAGACACACACACAGACACAGACACACACACACACAGACACACACACACAGACACAGACACACACACACACAGACACAGACACACACAGACACACAGACACACACACACAGACACATACACACATACACACAGACACACACACAGACACATACACACATACACACAGACACACACACAGACACAGACACACACACACACAGACACACAGACACACACACACAGACACACACACACAGACACACACACACAGACATACACATACACACAGACACACAGACACACACAGAGACACACACAGACACACATACACACACACACAGACACACACAGACACACAGACACACGCACATACACACACAGACACACACACAGACACACACACACAGACACACACACAGACACACACAGGCACACACACACACAGGCACACACACACAGACACACACACACACAGACACACACAGAGACAAACACACACACAGACACACAAAGACACAGATACACAGACAGACACACAAATACACAGACAAAGACACTCTGATACACAGACACACACAGACCAAAAGACACACACACAGACACACACACAAAGACACACAGATACACAGGCACACAGACACACAGATACACAGACATATACACAAATACACATATACACAGGCACACAAATACACACACAGACACACGCACAGACAGACACACACACAGACAGACACAGACATATACACAAGCAAAGACACACAAAGACAGATACACAGACACACAGATACAGACACAGACACACAAATACACAGACACACAAATACACACACAGACACACGCACAGACAGACACACACACACAGACACACACAGACACACACAGACATATACACAAGCAAAGACACACAGACACACAGAGAGACACACAAAGACATATACACACAGATACACACACTAAGACACATACACACAGATACACACACAAAGACACATACACACAGATACACAGACACACAGATACACAGACAGACACACATATACACAGGCACACAAATACACACACAGACACACGCACAGACAGACACACGCACAGACAGACACACACAGACATATACACAGACATATACACAAGCAAAGACACACAGACAGACACACAAAGACACATACATACACACATATACACACACAAAGACACATACACACAGATACACACACAAAGATACATACACACAGACACACAGATACACAGACAGACACACATATACACAGACAGACACACATATACACAGGCACACAAATACACAGATACACAGACAGATACACAAATACACACCCACAGATACACAGACACACACACGGACAGACACACACAGACACACACACAGACACACACAGACAGACAGACACAGACACACAGACACACACAGACATATACACAAGCAAAGACACACAGACAGATACACACACACAGATACACACACAAAGACACATACACACAGATACACACACTAAGACACATACACACAGATACACAGACAAAGACACAAATACACAGACACACAAATACACAAATACACAGACACACAAAGATACACAGACACACAGACATATACACAAACACAGACACACAGAGAGACACACAAAGATACATACACACAGATACACACGCAAAGACACACACACTAAGACACATACACACAGATACACAGACACGCAGACACAAAGACAAAGATCCCCCGTGTAGCCTGTGACCGGCTGTAGGGGCAAGTGCTGTTAGTAGCGAGTAGCAGCAGCGCCTATAGAGGCCGGGGGTGGGTGGCCAGCACCACGCCCGGCCGCCTTTGTCTCCCCAGTGGCACACACACAAGACAAAGATCCCCCGTATAGCCTTCACACACACAGACACTGACACACACACAGACTGACACACACACACAGACACACACACACAGACACAACACACACACACTGACACACACACTGACACACACACACACTGACACACACACACTGACACACAGACAACGACACACACACACTGACACACACACAGACACTGACACACTGACACACACAGACATACACTGACACACACACAGAGACACACACTGACACACACACACACACTGACACACACACAGACACATACTGACACACACACTGACACACACACTGACACACAGACACTGACACACACACAGACACACACTGACACACACACTGACACACACACTGACACACACACAGACACACACACACACTGACACACACACACAGACTGACACACACACAGACACACACACACTGACACACACACTGACACACACAGAGACACACACACACAGACACACACTGACACACACACACAGACTGACACACACACAGACACACACACACAGACAAACACACACTGACACACACACAGACACTGACACACACACTGACACACACACACTGACACACACAGACACACACACACTGACACACACACAGAGACACACACACTGACACACACACACTGACACACACACTGACACACATACACACAAACACACACTGACACACAGACACTGACACACACACACTGACACACACACACACAGACACACACACACAGACACACACACAGACACACACACACACACAGACACACACAGAGACACACACACAGAGACACACACACAGAGACACACACACAGACACACACACAGACACACACTGACACACACACAGACACACATACACACACACTGACACACACACAGACACACACTGACACAGACACACACTGACACACACACTGACACACACACTGACACACACACACTGACACACACACACAGACACACACACACTGACACACACACAGACACACACACACAGACACACACACACACTGACACACACTGACACACACACACTGACACTGACACACACACAGACACACACACTGACACACACACACAGACACACAGACACACACACACTGACACAGACACACACACACACAAACACACACACTGACACACACACACAGACACACACAGAGACAGAGAGAGACGCGACTCTGTACCAACGATCTTCAGGCGGACGCTCCCAGGACAATGGGTGGTGGTGGTGGTCGTCGTGGTGGTGGTCGTGGTGGTGGTGGTGGTCGTGGTGGTGGTGGTGAATCTCGTAGCAGGAGGAGAGACGCCGGCTTGACGGAGCGTCACCCACCACACACACTCACACAGTCCTAACAATGACGACGATGATGATGATGTTGTTGTTGTGATTATAATCTTGATACAATATCTCCCGTAAGGACTCTGTGCACACAAGAACACCACAAATGGTGTTACATCACCATTGTGGTCAGCACCACCACCATCATCATCATCGTTGTTGTTGTTACGAGACGACTACTACAAGATGATGCGTTAACGTGTTTACTGCCATTGTCGTAACAGCGTCCTATTTCCCCTAGCAAATAAATAAAAAATGTTCAATTATTATTATTGAAATTTAAAAAAAAAAAATTTACAAATTAATTAGAAAAACCCCTCCCTCCCTCCACATCCCTCCCATCAATTCCGCATAAATATAATTTTTTTTTTAATCGCAAATGTTTCGTGCTGGCGACCGGCGATGGAGAAATAAATAAATAAATATAAATTAAATCACAAATTTTTTTTTTTACAAAATAAATAAATTAAAATCCGCCCGGGCCCGCGAACGTCTAGAGGCCGAGCGCGACGACGGTTCGGGCGATGGGCCGACTGCAGTAGCCGCAGCCTGAGACGCGGCACCAACACCACCACCACCAGCTGCAGCTGCTGCAGCAAGCAGCAACACCCCCTGTCAATGTGGGGGGAGGGGTGAGTGGTGGGGGGAGGGGAGGTGGGGGGAGAGTGGGTGGGTGGGGCGTAGTGGGTGGTGGGGGGAGGGGAGGTGGGGGGAGAGTGGGTGGGGCGTAGTGGGTGGTGGGTGGGTGGGGGGATGGGTGGGTGGTGGGGAGAGTGAGTGGGTGGGGGGGGTAGTGGGGGGTTGTGGGTGGGTGGAGAGTGGGGGGTAGTGGGTGGGTGGATGGGGTAGTGGTTGGGTGGGTGGTTGGGGTAGTGGGTGGGTGGTTGGGGTAGTGGGTGGGTGGTTGGGGGTGGTAGTGGTTGGGTGGGTGGTTGGGGTAGTAGTGGTTGAGTGGGTGGTTGGGGTAGTGGTGGGTGGTTGGGGTAGTGGGTGGGTGATTGGGGTAGTAGTGGGTGGGTGGCTGGGGGTAGTAGTGGGTGGGTGGGGGGGTGCTCCAGACGGATGCACACCAGGGAGGTACAGAAGGCGAGAGAGAGAGACTCGTTTTGGAAAAATAATGAAAAATGCGAGGAGGGAGACAGAGAGAAGGGGGAGGAGAGAGAAGGGAGAGATGGAGGGAGAGTGGAGAGAGTGGAGAGAGTGAAGGGGGAGATGGAGGGAGAGTGGAGAGAGAGGACAGAGCAGGGAGGGAGAGAGTCGGGAGGGTGACATCATCTCTTCACCGACCCACTTCTGTCGAAGCCTCCCATTGGCTGACTAACAATAGCTGAGAAAAGCGTTGGGGAGAGACGTCGTGTCCCTGACATTATTATATTATTATAAAATTGTGATAATATTATAACGTCATCATCATTATTATTCATTGTCGGTGGTGGTGGTGATGATGGTGATGGTGGTGATGATGGTGGTGATGATGATGACGGTGGTGATGATGGTGGTGATGATGGTGGTGGTGAAGGTGGTGGTGATGATGATGGTGGTGGTGATGATAATGGTGGTGGTGGTGATGATGGTGATGGTGGTGATGGTGGTGATGATAATGGTGGTGGTGAAGGTGGTGGTGATGGTGATGGTGATAATGGTGGTGGTGGTGGTGGTGAAGGTGGTGGTGATGGTGATGATGATGGTGGTGATGATGATGACGGTG